AAGATGTCTCATCTCTCGCCTGGACCCATCCTGGATAGATCTGTCATTTCAGCAGAGCCTTCAACACAGGAGGGATGTGAGTGGCCTTACTGTTATGTACAAGGCCTACATTGTCAAAGTACCACACTAGGCTCCACTTCGAGGACAGCGAGAAGGAAGCTTCTATGCCACAAGACGGGCAGAAAGCAGCAACTTCACTCTGGCTGTACCCTTCTCCAGAACATCACTCGATCTGAGATCATATATACCCAAGATGACTCGAGTATGGAACACATTCGTATAGCATAATGATGTCAACGAGATAAGGTCAGTTGATCAAATGAAAATGCTGGCCCACAGATGGCTCCAACTTCATCCTGTTCCCTACTTGTATGTCTCATAACAATCAAAATGCTTTCAAATGAGCTGATGTATGTAACAGTTCTTAGCTTGCCAATAAAGTTAGGAATTCTTAACCTGTAAATAGCTTGTCAATAAAACTAGGGATCCTTAACCTTGTCAAACCCTGTGTAAAAAAAAAAATACAATCTAATCGAAGTCCAGACTTATATGGCCAGGGGTCCTGACCAGTAAAATGCATACAGCTAGGAGAGTACCCTCATCAAATTCAGCTTCAACAACAAGAACATTAACTGGGACCAGGTAAACTATGTCCTCAATGAAATATGTTGGGAAAATATCTTAAATAACATGGACCCTAAACGTACCTTGAAAAGATCAACTTCCTGGTAGCTGAAGAATGTTCAAGGCATATTCCCCTAAGAAAAAAAGGTAAGCAAGATAAGATTTCGTTCGGATTTTTAGCCCCGGGGGGTTAGCCACCCAGGATAACCCAAGAAAGTGCGTCATCGAGGACTGTCTAACTTATTTCCATTGGGGTCCTTAATCTTGTCCCCCGGGATGCGACCCACACCAGTCGACTAACACCCAGGTACCTATTTGCTGCTAGGTGAACAGGACAACAGGTGTAAGGAAACGTGTCGAAATGTTTCCACCCGCCGGGAATCGAACCCGGGCCCTCCGTGTGTAAAGCGGGAGCTTTAGCCACCAGGCCACTGGGCCACTGGAAAGAGAGAGACGCTTCCTCTACAGGAGAGGGCGAAGAATCACTGAGTTTCTCAAGAATGCTAGATTATCTGAAACACGGAAGTGCTAACCAGGGAAGTAGAAAATATTGAGCTTAAGTTAAAGGACTCATACAGGATCCAGGAGAGACAGGAGGAGCTAAAAGCTATTGGTGAAATTGAAAGAAATTCGAAACATTTTTTTCATATGCAAAAACAAGGCAAAAACCACACCTAGTATCGGGCCCCTGTTCAGACAAAATGGAACTTACACAGGTGACAACAAAGAAATTACTGGGATACTGAGATCTCAATACGGCTCTGTGTTTAACGAGCCACTAATCAGTCTAAAAATGTCTAAAGATCGACAATCCCAATCATTTTTTCATGAATGAACCTCAGAACAGTGCCAATGTATACCAAATTTCTGACGCAACTTTAACTCCACTAGATTCTGAAAAAGTCATTGACAACATGCCCATGCACTCAGCCCCAGGCCCAGACTCGTGGAACTCTGTGTTCATTAAGAGCTGCAAGAAACTCCTTTTGCGGGCCCTAGGTGTGCTATGAAGAAAAAGCATAGACACAAGTGAGATTCCAGTCACTAAAAACGATGGATATAGCCTCACTCCATAAAGGTGGCAGTAAAGCAATAGCTAAAAACTACTGACCAGTAGTTCTAACGCCCTACATCATAAAAATTTTTGAAAGAGTTCTAAGAAGCAGGATTACAAACCACTTGGATTCCCAACAATTGCACAATCCAGGGCAACATGGGTTCAGAGCAGGTCGCTCCTGTCTCTCGCCACTACTGGACCACTATGATATGGTCTTGGATGCACTGGAAGACAAACGGAATGCTGACGTAGTATACACAGATTTTGCAAAAGCCTTTGGCAAATGCGATCATGGTGTAATAGCAGACAAAATGTGTGTTAAAGGGATAACTGGCAAAGTGTGCAGATGGATCTTCAACTTTCTAACTAATCGAACACAAAGAGTAATGGTAAAGAAAGTTAAATCGGAAGCTGCCATAGTGATGACTTCTGTTCTACAAGGCACAATACTCGCCCCTATGCTGTTTCTCATCCTCATATCAGACACAGACAGAGATGTAAACCATAGCACCGAATCATCCTTTGCAAACGATACTGGGATCTGCAAGAGAATGTCATCTATTGAGAACACGGTAAATCTCCAAGAAGATATAAACCAAGTTTTCCAAAGTGATATTCACTGAAGACAGATTCCATCTACTCCGTTATGGAAAACTGGAGGGAATAATAGCAATAGAGCAGAAAAGTAATGCGAAGGACCTGAGAATGGTAATGTCTGAGGATTTCACCTTTAAGGATCACAACAGTGCAACTATCACATCTGCGAGGAAAATGATAGGATGGATAATGAGAACGTTCAGGACAAGAGATGCCAAGCCAGTGATAATCCTTTTTAAATCACTTGCTCTCTCTAGGCTGGAATACTTCTGTACATTAACATCTCCATTCAAGACAGGAGAAATCGCAGATCTACAGAATGTACAGAGAGCCTTTACTGCACATATAAGTTCCGTCAGAAACCTTAATTTCTGGGAACGCTTCGAAGCACTTGACATATACTCACTGGAGCACAAGCGAGAGAGATACATCATAATTTCCACCTGGAAAGTCTTACAGGAACTAGTCCCTAATCTGCACACATGTCGTGGGGATTCGTACACAGTGACACACAGAAATCACTCACTTTGATAGAACTGATAAATTGGCTAAGCTGTATGCTTTCAAAGAGGGAGTAGATTACAATCTTGGCTTGTCAGGTAGTAGTTTGAGAACAATAATACGAAAAGAACTTCAGCTGAATTTTATGGACTTAATAAGGCTCAGGGAGATTGACACCAGTGAGTCCATCTATCATCATTCTATCATGCAGGAGGAGCCACATGTCTATGGTGCATCCAACAAAATAAGCAGACTCTTGGATGTCACTACCGCCCTGCTCCGGCTGGGTTACAAGTATCTTTGGCAGGTTAAATCACCACCACCAGATGTAGACCAAACGAAATGTAAACTTTGCCAGATGGATTATTGTCACACCCTGCATCATTATGTACTGGAGTGCGATAAAATTAATGAATTTAGAAACAACTCACTCAGAAGTGTTCAAGAAATGGCTAAGTATTTTATCCACAGTGGTATATTACAGACCATTCTGGAGAAATACCCTGACTTTGCTAGCTGTAAATAAAGCATTACCACATATGTGCATGTGTGTGTGTGTGTGTGTGTGTGTGTGTGTGTGTGTGTGTGTGTGTGTGTGTGTGTGTGTGTGTGTGTATGTGTGTGTGTGTGTGAGTATGAGTGTGTGTGTGTGTATGAGTGTGTGTGTGTGTATGAGTGTGTGTGCGTGTGTGTGTATGAGTTTGTGTATGTGTGTGTGTGTGTGTATGTGTGTGTGTGTGTGTGTGTGTTTATGTGTGTGTGTGTATGAATTTGTATGTGTGTGTGTGTGTGTGTGTGAGAGAGAGAGACTCAGCAATCAACATTTGCACCAATAACTCACTACAGTTGTGACCGGGCGTGGAAGTGTGAATTGCTCATTACTCTAAAATTTGTTCATGATTGCAGCCATGTATAAACGTAAGTAACCATTCTTACAGTATTCATTACCTTTGTAACTTGTGAGTTCATTACCTTTGTAACTTGTGAGTTCATTACCTTGTACCTAGTTCAGCCATCAAAACTTTGGAGCCCGGTCCCTGGACCCATTGTGTACCTCTGTAATCTGTAAATACCTTTGTAACTTGTCATGATTGTGACTAGACCTACCTGGAGTTCATTACCTTTGTAAATTGTGAGTTCATTACCTTTGTAAATTGTGAATTCATTACCTCTGTAACTTGCTCAGCTATCAAAACTTTGAGGCCCAGTCCCTGGACCCATTATGTACCTCTGTAATCTTTTGACTACCGCCCACAGGATGGGTATGGGGTGCATAATAAACATATTAAACTAACTTTGAAAGCAAAAGACTTGGCAGGCGATGCAACATACCCCCAGTGAAAAGTAGGACCGACGTTAGTACACTAGGAGAAAACACAATAAGTGTCCGGGGCCCAAGACTGTTCAACTGCCTCCCTCTAGCCATAAGGGTAATTACCAATAGACCTCTGGTTGTCTTCAAGAGGGAGCTGGACAGATACCTAAAGTCAGTGCCAGATCAGCCGGGCTGTGGTTCGTACGTTGGAATTCGTGCGACCAGCAGCTTAGTTGATCAGGCCCTGATCCACCGGGAAGTCGGGGATCAACGCCCCCACGGGCCAGGGGCGTTGATCCCCGGAATACCCTTCAGGTAAACAAGTGAAATATGTAGTCAGCATGTTTTAAGCCCAGACCAAACAAACTAAAGCTAATTTGGTTTACTGATTATTAGTAACCAATAAATAGTGTCAACGACAGTCATTTAATAAAATATATTTCTTGGAAGGAGGCATGAGGGACATGGCCGTCTGCCAGGAGCATGTTAATATATAAATGTTTAATACGCATGTTGTTGCCTGGTAAATAGATATATACCTGCAGCTGTAATATAACACTAATGCACTCGGATTTATAGTTACAAGAGAATCGGTTCCTAGTGATAAATGCAACACTTCATCCTGGGACAGTTACTGTGATGTTCTACCGGCTGCAGCGCAGTATTAGATCCCATAGTAACAAACGTTGGAAGGAGCATCGTACAGCTGACACTGTACTCAGTGGTATAACCCCAAGGTCGCAACTTCTAGATACTCGACCTAATAAGGAAGGTCCTTGATGGTACGTGCACAATTACCGGTGTACATCATAACTTTACTAGATTGTCGATGCAATTATGTATATTTTCAGATCACTATAATAAACTGTGTCCTCGTGGGTTATAGTTAAGGAACTACTTTAACTAAGTACGATAGTTTGTGCAGCAGTGGGATGTGAGGAAGTAGAGTGGGTGTGGGCAAGAAAGACCAGGGCATCCCGGGCACTCCTCACACACCAGCCACAGCCACGGCAGGCACAACAACCTCTGCTTCATCTTAAAATACTTTGCGACTGAGGTAAGTTCCCAGACACGCTACAGAATGATTAAGCATTTCTTAACAATTTTCTATAACTTCTGTGCACTGGGAAAAGGGTAACAGATTCAAAATGAATGAAATTTATGACGACGTTTCGGTCCAACTTGGATCAACTAGTCATGAAGAAGCACGAAAGATCCGTAACAAAAAAAAAAAAAAGCTGGCTCATTTAGTATATAACAGAATATGTAATTATGAAAAGATTGATGATAATGACAGAAAGTATAATTGCAGAGTAGTAATGTGGATTTACGAAGTGAAGTGAATATTTTAGCATTGCATACAAATAATAATAATAATAATTATAATAATCTTTATTTCTGCAAGTACATGATACAACTTCCATAGACCATAGCTGACATCAATGATATACTAGTATATAGAAAGCCCCTGGTTATGTAGAGCATTTCGAGCAACTTAGGTTAATTTTGTCTCCCAGGATGCGACTCACACCTAGGTACCTACTTACTGCTAGGTGAACAGGGGCAATAGGTGTCTTAAAGAAACATACCCCAATGTTTCCACCCGTACCGGGGATCGAACCATGTTCTTCAGAGTGTGAGCTGAGTTTGCTGCCAACTGTATACTGCATAAAAGAAACAAAAAATTGAATTCGGATGAAGGAAAGTAGTTGCTCGTTACAGTAATGAATCTGGAAAGATATATACGGTATGGCTGATAGGAGAGTGCTGTGATTGGTGTTGCAGATGTATAGAATGAGTGGTAAGCTACTGAAAGGTGTGGAGAAATTACTGTTCACTATGTCTGAAGATGGGGTCGTAGAGGTTAATACTTGAGTTGTGGTCTTAAAAGATATTGAATCTGGTATAAAGTGAGAATTGTTACGATTACTTTAATGATACGGTACATCTGGAGTAATAAGGAGAGCAGTTGTAGAAAGTAGACTGGAAGGGTGTGTAAATGAAGAAAACTGCAAATGTACATTGAAGAGAAGTTGATTAAAGTTGAGAGCTAAGCAATGTAAGATTGACCGTCACATTGAAGTGATGGAACATGAAGGAAGTTAATGGGCATGTAAGTACACCTGTTGTGGAAAATTTTTAATTTTCCTACGTTCAGCATTTGTAAATTCGAAAAAATATGATAATTGTGTATTAAAATGTGATGCTGATTTAACCATTCAATAAATTTTGTGTGAAGGAGGGTGTGAAGCGGCAGCGGAGAGATACAGGGGAGAGAGGACGCCATAGTGAATAAATGTGTGAGCACTAGTTGTGGTGAAGTCGTCTAGTAATCTGGCGTCATCGAGGCGATAATTGAATGGATCGGCCTCATGCTATAACTAATAAGTACTGGAATGTTCCCTGTTGAAGAATAGGGACAGAGAATTTGCGGGGCTTCCAGAATTAGCTGGTGATAGTGGAAATAATGAGGTGTTCCCATGCAACACACCCAGTATGTACATCATTAGTTCTCTCATATAGATTTCTCGCTGTCCAGTGGGATTCAGTTTGTTAGGTAGGTGATGTGGGGTAATCCAACTACAATGTAAATGTTAAGTGGTAATATATATTTCGTAATTATCTAACTTTTGGTAGATATGTGCCTGGTGTCAATTAGAAAATTCTTACCCTGTCTGTGTGTATTAGTGTTCCCATTAATCCTTTCTGGAGATCGTTTCCTTTAATTTTCATACAGTCCACATTATTTTGATAATTTACCATTATTGGTATTAATGTTTAATATTGTAATTATTAATTTAATGTCAGGTTAAGTTTTTTTTGTGAGAGTGGTGAAGGAGTGGGCATTGAAGGAGTGAAAGTCCTGTGACCTACTGTGACTAAGTCTCACTTATCTCACCCAAATTACTTACACGTAATAATTCAGGTAATACCCCCGTAAACCTCATGCAGGTAATTTCTCACACCTCTCTCCTAATAATATGCCCATTTTTTCACTATAATCTACCTTGTCCATAATTACTATCGCATTTACTTTGTCTGTTTCGTAAGGTGAAGTCTAAGATCTTTCCTTAATTCATGGTATAACTTAACAAATCTTTGAGGATAATTGTGTTGCAGAGGTCTGAGCCTTGCTCAGACCTCTGTATCCTGTGGACGGCAGCACAAGAGCATATGGATACACAAAAGACCTAAAAACTAGGCCCCATAAGGGTTAACAGGAGTACATCTAGGTTTATATTTACAGTTCATTTATCTGTTCCATTTAAATTTAGGAAATTTGCTTATATTTTCTTTTTTAAGATATCTTGACATATCACATAGGTTATTATACTATCTATATATTCCTCAGTATTGTTCAGTTTAGCACATAATGTTTAAGAAAGACTGATTAAGTAGCCTGGCTACAACATCAGTCAGTCTGTTCACATTGCAAGTTGTTTCATAAACGTACTTATCTTAGTTCATGTTTTCCTAGCGAGTGGTAGCTCTACTCAGGCTTTTAACTGTATTGCTATAATATTCAGTTTCATTACTTACTTCTCTCTTAGTATCTGATACATGGGATCAACTTTGTCATCCTTCTTTGTACATTTTCCAGAGCATTTATATCCATTCTGTAATACTGTGACCAAAACTGTACAGCATAATCTAAATGAGGCCTAATCTAAATGTCACATTAGTTGCACTTGTGTCCTTTTACTTTACATATTGTCGGTAATTCTACCAACTTTATTACAAATGAGGCCTAACCAAGGATGAAAGTTAAGACACATGTGCAACATCTGGATATCTTTATTGTAGACGTTTCGCCATCCAGTGGCTTTATCAATACAGATTCTAGGAAAGTTAAGACACATGTGCAACATCTGGAAATCTTTATTGTAGACGTTTCGCCATCCAGTGGCTTTATCAATACAGATTCTAGGACATAATAAGAAGACAGAAGAACTATATAAAAAAAATGAGGTAATCAGTCCCTCAGCCTTGGAGTTAGTGTTCACAGCATCGTGGTGGAGGAGAATCTGGAGCAAAGACAAGAAGACTGGCGGTTATATAGCCGTCAGTGGATAGGGACGGGCAGCAGACGAGGGCAAAGTCACTGGTAGGCGGGATTCCCCAGTGGAAGTAGGTCCTTCCCAAAGAGATGGGTTAGTTGCAGCAGCCGTGAAGAAGGTCTTGTAGATGTCCTCTGAACCAAGATTCCATGATGTTGCAGTGTCTGACAAGTTGTGCAAGAAAGGTATAAAATACCGACAATATGAAAGTTAAGACACATGTGCAACATCTGGAAATCTTTATTGTAGACGTTTCGCCATCCAGTGGCTTTATCAATACAGATTCTAGGACATAATAAGAAGATAATGCTCTTCTCCAGACTGAGGGACTGACCACCTCAAAACTTTAAGGGTGATGGACTGATTACATCGTCTTCTAGTATCTTCTGCTTCTATCAACTTTTCTGTACTCGACTGAAGAAGCCTACTGTGTAGGCGAAACGTTTCGAAATAAAGATACCTAACTGTTGCATATGTGTCTTACCTAGCACACAGTAGAACTATATAAAAAAATGAGGTAATCAGTCCCTATCCACTGACGGCTATATAACCGCCAGTCTTCTTGTCTTTGCTCCAGATTCTCCTCCACCACGATGCTGTGAACACTAACTCCAAGGCTGAGGGACTGATTACCTCATTTTTTTATATAGTTCTACTGTCTTCTTATTATGTCCTAGAATCTGTATTGATAAAGCCACTGGATGGCGAAACGTCTACAATAAAGATTTCCAGATGTTGCACATGTGTCTTAACTTTCATATTGTCGGTATTTTATACCTTTCTTGCACACAGATTCTAGGACATAATAGGAAGACAGTAGAACTATATACAAAAGATGAGATAATCAGTCCCTCAGCCTTGGAGTTAGTGTTCACAGCATCGTGGTGGAGGAGAATCTATTACTTTCATATTGTCGGTATTTTATACCTTTCTAACCAAGGATGTATAGAGTTGAAGAACAACCTGAGGACTCCTATTATTTATGCTTCTTGATATGAAGCCAAGGATTCTATTAGCTTTATTGCGAACACTTATGCACTGTTGTACATGAATGAACATTAAAATGGTATAAAATACCGACAGGTTGTTAGGTAAGACACATATGCAACAGTTAGGTATCTTTATTATGAAACGTTTCGCCTACACAGTAGGCTTCTGTCAGACACTGCAACACAAGGGTATCTTGGTACAGACCTGCAATCAACTTCGACAACTTCCACTAGTGAGAGCGGCTGGATTTGAGAGGGACCTGACCTTTCAACATCTGAGTTCTTACCTCTCCTAGTGGCCTACGTCTCACCTCTTGGCGCTATAAAAAGCTCCATCCTGTCACTTCATCTCCATATTGTTTCATACTATGGAACAATGCTCTTCTCCAGACTGAGGGACTGACCACCTCAAAACTTTAAGGGTGATGGACTGATTACATCGTCTTCAAGTATCTTCTGCTTCTATCAACTTTTCTGTACTTGACTGAAGAAGCCTACTGTGTAGGCGAAACGTTTCATAATAAAGATACCTAACTGTTGCATATGTGTCTTACCTAACAACAACTGTTGTACATCAAAATGGTATTCAATACCGACAGGTTGGTAGGTAAAACACATAGGCAACAGTTAGGCAACTTTATTCCGAAACGTTTCGCCTACACAGTAGGCTTCTTCAGTCAAATACAGAAAGTAGGCAGGAACAGTAGAGATGTGAAGACGATGTAATCAGTCCATCACCTTTGAAGTCGTAGAATTTTGAGGTTGTCAGTCCCTCAGCCTGGAGAAGTTCAGTTCCATAATCAGGAACTATCTGAGGATCAAGCGGCAGTGCGGAGACTTAAATACTGTCGGAAGGAGAGGTGCAGTGTAGTAGTAGTAGTAGTGAGAATGTAGCCACTGAGAGGTCAGGTCCCTCTCAGATCCAACAGTTCTCACTTGAAAGGGTTGTCCAAGGTGTTTTCTGTACCAAGAGGCCATGTGTTGCAGTGTCTGACAAGATGAACATCAAA